GGCAGCATCAGTGGGCTCAAGTGTGGCAACAATTGTGATGTTGGCCTAGGACCGGGCAGTGTTTCGTTGTGTTGTTTACAGGGTTGCAGTGAGTCAGTAGTGACTCGACGGCACCTAACAACAACAACATAACTTTTAATGTTATGAAATATAAGAAATACATTTTCTAAGTTTTTGATATCATTGAGCCTTTAGAATATTTTTTGTATCTATTCTTTCCTCATATATTGTTTCTTTGGATACATTCATGCATACGTTATTCACAAAATCCACTCTGAATCTATTAATTTTTTCTGATGTAGACAACTACACACACCAGATGTCATTGAGTCAATCTCCACTCATGCCACTCATGGCAACACCATGTGTCAGAGTAGAATGTGTCCTCAGGGCTTTCAATGATTTTTTGGAAGCAGATTACCAAGTCTTTCTTTGGCAGTTCCTTTGGGTGTACTCAAACCTCCAGTCTTCAATTTGAAGCCAAGTACGTTGTTTGCACCAACAATGATCTCTGGAAAAATAGCTCAAGGCTAATCCAGTTCCTATTTCTTGTACTATATTGAAAATTAACTTAAGATCAGCAAAGTTTGACTTACTATAACATAAAATGCTCCCTCCCTTAAAAAGCTCTTACCTTTGTTACATCTCATCTACATTGGCCACATTTTCTTCAATAGCTTCCTCTGGCACATTCTTTCCTTTGACATGCCAGCTTGCCTTTAGAAATGGATGCAAAACCATCTCTTTCTGATTTTAAGTAGAACAAACCTCCTTAAACTTTTTATTCTGTCTCTTTCTCTGGGTAATGAAACATCCTAAAGATTCTTATTATTAGCATCTGACTCCACAAATATTTATTTGATGGATATATAAACATCTAGTAAGGGTGTCCTGTTATGGTCCTGTATGATATGTACTGGAATGCTAACTAAAAGGTCAGTGGTTCAAACCTACCAGATGTTCCTTGGAAACCTTATACGGGGTTTCTGTGAGTTGAAACTGACTCAATAACACTTAACAGTAGTAAGGGTGTATATATAGAAGTAATACAAATTCTTGCATACCCCTTGGGTTATTTCCATTTTAAACTCTGTGTAAAAGACATGAGAGATTACATACTAAAAGAAAAAGCTCAGGAAAGAAAATAATTTCTTCTACATCTATTTTGTCCAACTTTTTATATGTTTTTGACATTCTGAGGAAGAGACCTCAAAATAATCTTCAACGTAAGTTATCTTAAGATTATCTTCTATATAACTCTAGAACACAATGTGCTTATTTTTTTCCAGATTATCAATAAAGATATTGAAAAGAATGTTTCTAAAATAATTCCTGTGTGATGCACTGTGGGTAGAAACCTACCTGCTTACATCACTGAATCTCAGTACCTGGCACACAGCAAGAACTTAATACAATGTATAGAAAATGGAAAATACCTCATGGCTATCTGGGATGGGAACTTGATGCTTTTACATCTTCTGTCAACTAAGTATGTTCTTCTTGACAGTGATTTAATCTCCTAAATGTATACAAATCATTAGTTAATATATTTTTTTTCTTTCTTTCAGTATATCATTGAGTCTCTGAAGCCAGATTACAACTGCTCCCTACACAGTGGATATGTGGTCTTAGACAAACGACTTGAGTCCTTTCTGCCTGGTCTTTTTCTAGCAGACAGTAACAACACCTCTTTCATAGGCTTGTTCTGAGATAATGGAACAAGCATTCTACAAATATGAGCTACCACTTTATCTATTGTATGTGTATTTCATATTTGAGATTAATGCATAGGTATGGAGATGAAACCATTATCAGAATTACTACCTCAATTTTCCACTCCCCATCTTTCCACTAATACAAAATCATTTAATCTAAGCCAGCCATTTGTTTTCTATGGTGGAATCAGAGTGTAAAAATGTCAGTGCACATTTGTATTTGAAAGCTGTAAATAACCAGACCAGTCATAGTATAGTAAAAGAAGAATTTTAGGTTTCTTTGGTGAAACAAAAAGCAGATATAAAAGTTACAAAGATTTTAGATTTTCATTCACGCACACACACAAAAAAAAAAGTCATTCACATTTTACACTATACAAGTTATAACATAAATACAGGAAAGTATTATGTGCATCGTAATGGAAGAGGAAAAATATTAAAACCTTAATAGGTCAACACAGTGTTGTTGGCAATCTAGAACACTTAAAGGTGGGATTACATTTAATGCAGCAACTAAAGAAACTTGTTTAAAAACACTGTGTATGATTGTAGCTACTGCTGTTCCTTCTAAGCTCAAGGAGGTTCCTGAAGAAGAATCCAAGACTGAGCCAATCTGTTTGCTCTTCTTCTATTTGAATTTTATTTGTTATCTACCCTTCTCAAAATCACAGAAAGACTCCTAAAAGCCTTCTTTCCATTACAGATTTTTCTTCAAACATTAACTTAAGTGGATAATGATTCAAAGTCATCTTCAGCAGTTATTTTATTCAAATAAAGGGGAAAATGGAGTGGGAAGAGATAGGGAGGAAGTTCCACACAAGCTCCACTTACTGGGAAGAAATGTCACTACTATATCTATAAGCTCCTTGCTTAGACTGGGCAAACACCATTTGCTGAAAGCTACACACTGTACCACTCTTTTCATAACAAACACTTGATGTATCTACCCAACACATTATTCAATCAAGGACAGAGTACCTATATTATATGAATCCAAACTGTGTGAGGGAAGCATAAAGGCTAACACTGAAATACAACTAGCATACTATGTCAATTGTCATGTCTTGGAGAAAATAACATCCAATAAATTAAATCAGTATGGCTTACTTCATTTATTTATGTATGCTTCACAGCTGCAGCATTCATACATAAGCATTCAGAACTTTATAAAAGATTAAAATGGTTATATATACAATTTTTATTTTCTTTGCATGTGTTGTTGTTTTAACAATCCCCCGCCCTCCAGAGCCCTAGGTCTATATCCATTTGAAATGTATTGATCTGTAAACTTGTGAGTTAGTGTGGTGAAAGCCATTAAAAAGTCGACCTGGTTGAGTTAATAATTAGCACTTTGACCCCCTAAACAATGCTCTTGGCCATAGAAAAGTCCTCCATTCAGGCCTTTCTGGTAAGTGAAGAAAAAGGAATGCAGAAAGAATTCCATATTGCAGTCACTAGTTCCATCAGGAGCCCATTAGCCACGTTGCGTGGAAGCATACTGCACCTTTGGCTAAGATGGGTGCAGTGATCTACAAGACTGCATGTTGGTTAGTTGCCCAGAAAAAGCCGTCCTCAGTCTTGCTGAAGTATAAAGGGCAAGCGAAACAATTTCCAGCCTAAACAAACGACATAAAAGCAGCCGACCCAATGATTAAAGACCTCTAAGGCTCCATAATCATCATTAAATATGCCTGACCTCAGTGTGACGTTTTATTTTATGTACAGGATTAAAATCAACATTAAATCATCTTATTTACATTGCCGTCGGTGCTGAAATTGAGCTTTTTAAATAGTACAGTAGGCTGGAATACATTATAAAATGGTCTGCACCAGAGGCAAATAGAAAACTAAAGAAATTAGGTAGGCTGGAAATAGTTATTTTCTACCCTCATTTTCTTTCATTGTGTTTGCTCTCTTGTTGAATGTCAATACTTTCATTTAAAATGTTTGGGGAGCTCAGCAATCCAAAACGATTGGACGGTGATCCAAGAACTCCAAACAATTGATAATACTTCTCGAGGTGATAGGAAAGGCACAAGAAGTTAGGACTTTGGCTGAAATGATGAAAACACATGTTCGCCATTTTAGGGATCAGCGCCTCGACTCCTGCCACCTCCGGCTCCAACGATGCTCATGTTTTGATGAATTTAATGAACTGTCCTTTGATGATGAGGAATTTTTTAAGTATTTCTTAGAATAAGTCCTTTGGTATGCAGATGCTACATGGAAGGAAAGAAAGAAAGAAAGAAAACACAACAATATTACTTGCTCCATACCCTAAACTAATACCGTAGCCAGAAAACGAGGGCGTCTAGTAGTTTTTACGACACAGCTGTCCATTCTTTCTAAAGTACCACTTACGGTTCATGCAGGTAATTTTAGGCATAGCCCATCTTCCATTTCCTAGGCACCGGATGGTTGGAAGATGGCGCTGAATGAAACCATCTTTGCAGTGATATCTAATCAAGGAGTTGATTTCATAACGAGGCTTCATTTTTCCAAAGGTCTTGGCATTTTCTACAACAGGGGGCTGGCCGCAAGCAACTAAAGAAAAGCAAATTGGTTATTCCCAAATATTCCAAATATTTCAACTAGCATTAGTTTCTTTTCTCTTCCTCTTTTTAATCTAATAACACCAAATCAAGCACCGTCCTCAAAGGCAGCCATTTAGAAAGCAAGAAATGAGAACTTTTGATGAAAAAAATTAAATGTTAAGGCTCTGTGACTAGCTTGAATACCAAATTGTATCGCCTTCAGCTGTGTTTTTATTGACGGACCATAAGGATGAATGGTCATACATTCATCTATCCATTTGGCAGAGCTAATTTTTTTTTTAATCTAAAAATCATGTATCTTATGAAAGTCCTGCTGTAGGATAAACACTGGACTGCTAGGTCGGTTTGAACTGCAAGATCAGTGGCTCATGCTCACCAGTCATTCCTCAGAAACCCTGTACAGGGTCACTATGAGTCCCAAGAACCTCAACAACACTTAACATCTTGTGCCAGCATTTGGCCCTTTACTATTATCTTCATTACCCTTGCAAATGATTTATTACTCTCCTTCACTTATGACAAGAATGAATTTGTAACAATTAACTATTTCAGTAATTTCCCCAAAAAAACCCTTACAATCTACAAGAAGAGTATTTCAAAATATGAACATGTCCTCTCATGTATAAATAAAATTTCTCTAGTTTCATTTGTTTACTTGATCTTTTCAAGCTTCTGTATAAAGACACAGAGAAAGAGAGGGCATAGTATTTGTGCTTCTGTTTTATAATCTCCTTATAAATATATATCAAGAAAGAAAAAAATAGACATCAACACTTAAAAAAGGTAAAGCTTAGACTATTGAGTCACCACTTTAAAATTTACAATAAAAATTCTGAACATCAATCAATGTTTTTGTAAAGTGTCTTCAAATCGGTTCCAACTCAGCGACCCTGTATAGGGTTTCCATGGAGCGACTGGTGCATGTGAACAGCTGACCTTGCAGTTATCAGTCCAGTACTTAGCATCAGAAAAATAATACTTAAAAGAAAAAAAAAAAAGAAGTAAAAGAAACCTTGCTAATTTGAAATTCAAGAAACGAGGAAGACTGATTCAACAGAATTTCTGTTTACCAACCCCCTTTTATTCAATATGAGTGAACTTAACTGATGAATAAAAGTTGCCGTAATGATATACTTTTTAAAAAATTAACTTTTATTAAATGGATAGTGTTTGGATTTTCTTAAGCTTTCTTTTAATAAAACTAATGTAATTTCTTTAAATGGTAACTAATCTATTATTTACTTAAAAATTCTAACACTACAAGGTCTAAAAGACCATGCAATATTCTCTCATCAAATAAAGCAACTCTCCAATACAAGAATGGTTGCCAGAATCATGGATACCAAGAATTTGCATGTCAACATCCTAATATTATAAGTTTACAATGAATATTTTTATAAAGCTATTTATAGCCATATTCTTTTACAGTGGAAAATATAGGCTTAACGTAAAGATTAAGTTCTTCTAATTTTCTTCCCCATAACAAAACACTTTGGAATAAGTGGCCGTACTGCAAACAAAATCGTATCTAATGAAACAGACCAAATATATTTTTATCCACATAAGAAATTGTGACTCAGATAGATATAACTTAAAATAATAACATTGAAAAGTCATAGTGTCTATAAATGAGAAATTAAAAATATTTATGCATGTGAATGTTTGACCTTTGCAAATTCCCACCAGATAAACTAAGATTATTATAGTTATATCTCACTATCAATCATTAAATTACACTGTATCTATGGTTCAATGATAATCCCAATCTGGAGACCTGGCATACTTCTTTCATTATCATACAAAAAATCTTTACCAGAGCCCTTACACTAGCTGGTACATAATATGAGGAGACTTCAAGTTGATAATTCACTATAATGAATTCTGTGTTATGATGAACAAATTAGAAGGTTTTTTTTGTTGTGTGTGTAATTGTAAGGGAGAGTAATATATAGCTTTCCTTTAAAACTATTCAGTTATAAACACATATTATAAAGCTAAAATAGTTCAGTGAGTGTGGTAGTAATAGGGACCAGCAGAGAGACCAGAAATAATCCACACATAAATGTATATGTAACATGGCAAAACAGTGGGTCTTAGAAAATTGGGTATTCATTTTAGAAAAAAATAAACAATTGATTCCCTATATCAAAGAATACATGGAAACTCATTTCCAGATGGTAAAAACACATAAATAGGAAAACCTGCTCACTGAAAGGTTGGTAGCTCAAGCCCACTGGCCACTCCTTAGAAACCCTATAATACACAGAACAATAACATCACACAAGCTACAAAGTGAGAGAAGATATTTGCAACACACATACTTGTCAAGGGATTAGTAATGAGAATATATAAAGAATTCCTACAAAAAAATAAGTAAAAGGATTAAAAAAAAAAATAGTTGCCATCAAATAAATTCAGACTCATAGTGAGCCCAGATGCATCCGAGTAGTACTGTCTGTGCTCCATAATATTTTCAGTGGCTGTTTTTTCTTCTGAGGTGCCTCCGGGTGGATTAGAACCTCCAACCTTTTCATTAGCAGCTGAGATCCTTAACCATTTGTACCACCAGGGATCCAGTTAAAAGATAAACATGAATTTTGAAATTAAAAATTTTGTTAAAACTAAAAAGAGCTATAAATGATCTACAAGTATATGAAAAGATATTCAGGGAAAAGTAGTCAAGAAAACTCAAATACGATGATAAGAAATAATGTTTTATACCCCCCAGATTGGCAAAAATGTCAAAGTTCGATAATATCAAATGTTGGAGAAGATGTAGAGCCACAGGACCTCTTACACATTGCTGGTGGGAGTGCAAATTAGTACAACTCTCTAAGAAAACTGGACATTTTCTAGTATATTGATGTTCCAAATTGCCTATGACTCAACAACTTCACTTCTAGAAATACATCCTATAGAAATTTACCCAAATATACCAGAAACACGTTTAAGAAAGATCATAGAAACTGTTTGTCATAGCAAAAACACTGGAAATTACCCAAATTTCCACTTACAGGATAACTGATAAGTAAAACGTTACACAGTCATACAATGAATTATTATACAGAAGCAACAAAAAAGAAAAATGCAGCCGTATGTTATCAACATGGACAAATCTCACAAACATAATGCTGAATAACAATAACAAAAACACAAGACACAGAATACCAAGAGTGTAATTCCACTTGTAAAAATATAAAAAACATAAAAAATTAAACAGTTTATTATTTAAGGATATATTTATGTGTAACAATACCAAAGGGAAAAAAACTAGGGAATGAAGTCATTATTGCTGGTAGGAATTGGGATTTGAATGGAGGGAATGGAAGGAACACACAGGATGTTGCAAAGATGTGTGAATAGTATTAATTTTTAAAAAACAAGTATATCATTCATTTATATTGTAATTTTTACAAATATTTAATATAGATTTAATATATAAATCTGAGTGTTTAAAAGTATTTAGAAGATCTGAAATGAGAACAAAGAATTATGATTCACAAAAGTTTATAGGGATTTAAAGATTAGTCAGAATAGTGATTAGCAAAACACATAAATAAACATCAGACGCTACAGAGATAAAAATGCGGGAATACTTTTGTTTTTTCTTTAATGCTTTTTTCCAGCATCTTATCAAATACTTTCCTCACTGGGAATGTAAACTATAATGCTATTTTTTGTATGAATCCTTTTTGGCTATAGAGAAGTGGTTTTCAATCAGCAGCAATTTTGCCCCCTACTGCATTTGGCTTGGCTAGAAAGATTTTTATGTTGTCATCACTGATTGGGGGTCATCTAGTGGATAAATGGAAGGATGCTGCTAAAGATTCTACAATGCACAGGACAGCCACCCGTAACAAAGAATTATCTGGCCCAACATGTCAATAGTGCTGCTCTCGAGAAACTGTAATATAAGAAAAAATAACATAGGAGATACATAAATTATTTAGATTATAGAATAGAACGCTTGTCTCCAAGGAGTATTTGGAGAACTAAGAAGGCAAATATGACATCTAAATAAAGGTAAGCAGTTGATTAAAGACTTCTTACACTAGAAAAAGGCAAAATAGCAAATACTAGTTATTTGTACAAGTCACATCACAGAAATGCTGAAGCAATGCACATATTTGGGAAGACTTGTCATAGAGAGAGGATGTTGAGAAAAGGTTCTATTTTCAAAGAGAGAACAAGAGCATAAAGTAGTCATTGACAGCAGTGGAGATTCGCTGAGAAAGAGCTTTGTGTGTCTCAGTGTTCCCTTACTTCTAACAGAATTTCCTATTATTGATATTTAAGAATTTCTTAAACTGTTCTTATTTTTATTTTTATATTCAAAGACAAATAAATCAAGTGGATTTTATATATTGTATTTGTACCTTTTACCCTTACTTGAAGTATATAAAAAAGTCTGAGCTAGGAACAAAATGTAACTAGAATTTTAACATCATAATCAATTGCAAACAGGTTGAAATATTATTGACTTTC